CGCAGAAAGGCTCAGGGCCCCAGCAGCGGCCCAGTGCTTGCGCAGACTCGGGTGCCATGCACGCCAGGGCATGCCTCAGTTGCGCAAGCCGGCAGCACAGCGCAGCGCAGCACAGCGCAGCCGTGCGCCTCACCCATGGAAAAGAAGAGGTGCCTGCGCAGTCCAGGGGGCGTGGGGGCGCACGGGGAAGCGGGGCAGGGGATCAGCGTCCGGCGGGGCAGCTGCACTCCATGCGTGCCGGGCCCCGCGCAGCATGGCCGGACATGCCAGCGGGAGCACAGCCCACCTCTGCCAGGCCCGGCCCGCCAGCCCCACCACCATTCGCCATGCGCCGCAGCACAGCACCCATGCACGCCCGCGGCCACCACCCCACACCCGCCCTCACATGGAGATGAAAACGATGGAGACTCCGATGAGGAAGTTGAGGGTGAGGGCGTGGCCGAAGAGTGCGGCGGAGGCGAGGCCGGTGAGGATGGTGGCAATGGTGGACGAGTACTTCTTCAGGATGGTGTCGGCGTACTTGTAGAAGAAGGAGGACAGGATGCCCTGCAGGGGGGGGGGGAGTGTGTGTGTGTGTGTTTGTGAGAGAGAGAGAGAGAGAGAAAGGGAGAGCGAGAGAGGGGGGTGGGGGTGATCTATGCATGTGGGGACGTTGCCGGTCTCACGCAACATCTGGCAGGATGCGACGCTGGGCAAGGGTGGGAGCAGGGCGCGCATGTGCGGCGCTGCGCGGGGTGGCCGCTGGCAGCTGGCCAGGGACAGCGAGGCAGCGAGGGGCGCGCACCTGCAGCGCGTTGTTCACCACCAGCAAAAAGGTGACCTGCGGCGGGGGCGGGGGCGGGGCGCGGCGTGGCGGCGGCGGGGGCGGGGGCGGGGGCGGGGGCGGGGAGCAGGGCGCCGGCAGCGCGGCTGCATGGTCCGGAGGGGCGGCTGCGGCTGTGGCTGCGGCGGCCGCTGCGGGGGGGCTGCGGCTCACCGCTCTGAAGCCCTGCAGCATGTGGCCGGGGCGCATGTGCCCTGTGGCCATCATGAGCAGCAGGCCCACCAGGTTGAAGCACATGCCGTAGAAGTAGAGGAAAAAGTTCTGCGGGGGGTGGGGAGGACGGGGCGTTAGTGCAGGCTGGCGGGGCGGTGAGCCGGGGAGCGGGGAGGGGGAGGCTGGGGCGGGCTGCAGGAGCGACTGCAAGCGTGCCCGAGGCGCTGCGCTTGTGAGCAACAGCATCGCCACACACCCACACACACAGCAGACAGCAGACAGCGCACCCCGCAAGCGCG